TATTCATCTCTAGTGTCTCAAGAACATGTCCCCTTGTGTGTGTGTGTTTGTTTGTTTCATTCCCTTTCACGGAACAATCCTGCCATGTCATGTCAAATTGCAGCTATTGCATCCTCTTCCTGGCCAAAAACACCTACGATTTTGAGTTCTCTAACTAACTCCATTGTCTTATAGTCTTAGTCTTATATAATAGCTAAGCTGAAGAATGACAGAAAGCGAAATGAATGATGTGTGCACAATAGTGCACACAATGTAGCCAAGAGTAGCCTCATCCAGCTCTTCTCGCGCCGTCTCCGCAACCTCCTCCACTTCTGCCTGTATTGGCTTTCCAGAAACAACCTGTAACAACTTGTAGCCTGCCTCTTCAACACGCTCCGCTCAATGAAACAAACACACTAAAGCACTTAAACGCGGACTATTGTTTCTCTTGGCTTCTATTCCTTCTGATCACACACATCAACCTTGCACGACGCGAAAGGTAGGCGCAGGCCTGTGGATCTGCTGGTGTCTCAGCTTCCGCTTCAGCCTTCTTGTCCTCACTGACAGCCTTGAAGTAAAACTTTCATCTCTAGTGTCTCAAGAACAAAGCCTCTTGTGTGTGTGTGTGCTTCGCTCCCTTTCACGGAGCAACCCTGATTTAGCTTTTGCATTCTCTTCCCACCGGTTTCTCTCAAAGACTGGCCGGCGAGAACACCAATATTTGTGTGTTCTTAGAACTAACTCCTTTGTCATAATAGCCAAGCTGAACAACGATGGAAAGCAAAAATGATGTGTGGACAATAGTGCACCAAATGCAGCCAAGAGTAGCCTCATCCAGCTCTTCTCTCGCCGTCTCCGCAACCTCCTCAGCCTCTGCACTGGCTTTACAGAAACAACTTGTAACATTGCAACATCTTTTTGCCTGCCCTCTTCAATACGCCTCTCTAGTCTAGCAGCCCAAACACATGATCTTGATTATCTTGCTTCTCTTGCTTCTGCTTCAGCTAATTATACCTATCAACTTACACAAAGCAAGCGACTAAGGACCAAAGTCATTCTTTCCTTGCCGAACAACATGTCAAGAAAAAAACAGCTTCAGGGTGTCTGCCAGGATATCAGCGCGAAAGGTAGGTGCAGGCCTGTGGTTCTGCTGGTGTTTCAGCTTCCACTTCAGCCTTCGTGTCCTCACTGACAGCCTTGAAGTGAAACTTTCATCTCTAGTGTCTCAAGAACAAAGCCTCTTGTGTGTATGTGTGTGCTTCGCTCCCTTTCACAGAGCAATCAATTTGAACAATGATTGAAAGCACAATAATGACTTCCACATCTAGTGTCAAACATTGTCAAAGCCTCAAACCCTCCAAGTCTGCGAAACCACTCTTGCGTTTCTCTACTAACGAGCATCCAATGTGGGGACATGCATTGGTTTGCGAACAGGATCAAGCAGGTAAGTTTCCTCCGCATGTGTTGTCTGCAAAACTGAAAGCAAAAATGGCCCTCCCAAAAGGCACTACGGAGAAAACACTTGTGCTTTTTAAACGAACGCAGCGCGTTGCAAGGTCGGTGCCAAAGCTCAGCAACTTTGTTCGAGTGAAAAGCTAGGGATGGCCTGTGGCT